GGAGTAATATGGTTATTGGCATGTGAGTTCCGCCCACTTTTCTTTCCAGACATCTCTGTCACTAGCAGCTCTCCACCAGAGGGGTCCTGCCTACTGCTTGAACACGTTGCGCCACTTTTCTTTTGGTGCCCTCTTCTTATTTCCAGATCATATGGAGTCCAGTATGTGACCATTCTTGACCATATATAATCTTCACCCAGTAGGAGATTCCCAGCCCATTTCCATTAGCTCAGTCTTGTCCATCTAAGGATATCTGTGAGTCCTATCTCTTTTTTGATCCAGTCATTTCTCACTCTGTCTCTTTTTCTCACATTCATAATAATTCTTTCATCCTTATTCTGCCTCACCTGGATCTTTCTCTCTTGAGAATTTGTCAATGACCAAGCTTAATCCATAAGTAACCATCGGATTTATGCAAGTTATGAAGACCTATTCTTTCACATTTAACAGTTATTAATAAAGGAATAAAAAAATAAATGCAAGATTTTACATTAATAACATGAATAAGTCTAAAATATTTCCAAAATTGTTAAAACTTATTATGGAAGAGAAGTTGGTTGGGGATTGGAATACATCTTGAAATATATAAAAAAAAATTACATTTATTATCTTTGTGCCCAGATTTCGGCCTAAGTTTCAAGCCTCCATCAAGGCTAAGCAAAGACCAGGTAACAAATAAATACTGAGAAAATAGTAGGCAGTAATAATAATAATATGATCTGTTGTTTCATAAGTATATAAGTTCTTAACTGTTATCTTATATATTCTAACTTTGTCACTGTTATTTTATAAGTCCCAGCTTTATTACAGTTACTTTATAAATTCCTAAATTTATATATCATATATACTTCCATATTACCTACATATTATTTTATATGTTAGTACATATTATTAAGTTTAAATACCTACATATATATTATTTATTAAAGTTAAGTTTAAATACTTACATAATATTTATTCATATGTTATTGAAAATATTTTAACATACCCATATCTTTGCTATTTCATTTCTTAGTTACCCTTATTTTATCAGTGTTTACTTCATTGCTTTTTTACCATTACTGGCTATATAATTTGTAAATACTCTCACATACCACAAATTTTCCATTCATTAATTATTAATTTTATTGAGTTATTGAAGTAAAGTAGTTGACATGGGTGATAAATAATCATGATGCAGTCATTTTAAAGGTTTTTTATTGGTGCCCCAATAAAACACCTGAAAAATGACTGTGTTCTGACTATTTACCTCCATAATAATTTTATTTGTCACTACTAATATATACTTTTTATCGAATATTTTCATGTGCTATCCCATATTCCATTATATTCTTGTATCACAATTTTAAAACAAATAACTTTCACTAATCGCTATACTTTGAATAGAAATAATTTTCTGGTAATGTTGGGATATTATAAAATTTTTAAGTGCATTTTTAACTGAACTAAACCTTAAGCTTACGGCTAAAACATCATTAATACCATTATAATAACAAAAATCCTAATTATTACATTGATGGTTGATTACAAATTGTAAAATCCATTGATTATGCATTGTATGACTATTAGTTATTGTATGCAAAGCTGACAATGGAATTACAATATTTGTATTGCCTGTCATAGATAGGTCAAAAGCTGTTACACTAATTGTAAGTGGATACTGTTGGATATCACAAAGGGAAAATTCATCAAATTATTGACTAATTTAATTTTCTGAAAGGGTACATGATGATTTTTCAGAATAAACAGGTAATAAATACCTAATTATTTAAATATAATATTGGATATAGAGTTATTAAACTACATTAAATATATTTAAGATTATAAATATATCCATAATTCCCTGTGTTCGCTACTTTGAAAAAATAGTAGGGATGTACCTTGTAATAGTGGATTTTAGGATTTTCCAGATAGCCGTTTATATTTGCCAAATTTTACCAAAATGGTGAAAAGGATATTACACATTGGAGGATTTATTTTTCTTATGGGAACTAACAGATATATAAATAAATCTGTTGTAAAAATGATATAATTATAATAATAAAACTTAATTCAAAAATACTTTGCTGAATATCTTGAATTTTTTATTTTATGTTTGCAATTTAACACTGTTTTCTATATTTACTGATTCTTTGAGGTAATTTAAATTGTATATACTTCCCCGGTCATATTAATACCTGTTTTGTAAACTAAAATAATATATACCTAATCTGAACTACATATAATGAATAGTTGCCGGGTTGTTTAGTAAAACTCATATATAACTAATAAAAAATTAATTTTTATTTCATTTATTTTGTTTAGAAGTTGGACCATATCATAAAAAAAAGAAGGAAATTTTAATATTGAATGCATTATTCTCTCTGCACAAAGAAAGCTGGAAACGTCGAAGCTATAAATTCTTCTAGGTAAACGGAACTAATTGTTAGGATTGGTCTCAAAATGAGGGAAATTGAACGCAAAAATTGGAAAAATACATTAAGCGAACGAGAAAGGAAGTGCCAAAATCTCGGAAAATAAAACAAGGATCAGAATTCAGATTCCTTTAAAAATCTTTTGCAAATGCAGTAAACAGAAGGAGAGCTATTTCCTTTTCTCAATAGACCTCTCTATAACCTGCTTCAAAGTGAAGATAGTCCCAATGTGCAACTTCAGTGGCGATAGAAAATAAAGTTGTTTTCACCATAATAAACCTAGTTTACTTCGTCCAGACCTGCTGACTTGCCAATTGCTTCGAACAAATCTTTCATGCTTATAGAATGGTCTTCACCATAATAAACCTGTATCATCCCCTTAATTTCATCCAAGCTGCTCCAGTTGACACCCTTTTAGCAGCATCTTGAAGTATTCTGTTCATCTGTCTACAACACTTTCGTTTAGCCATATAATGGATACAGATCCTTGTTTTATTTTCCGAGATTTTGACACTTCCTTTCTCGTTCACTTAATGTATTTTTTCAATTTTTGTGTTCAATTTCGCGTTTTCTCTCATTTTGAGACCAAATCCTAACAATCATTTCCGGTTACCTAGAAGAATTTATTCCTCCGGCGTTTCCAGCTTTCTTTGTGCAGAGAGAATAATGCATTCAATATTAAAATTTCCTTCTTTTTTTTTTATGATATGGTCCAACTTTCGAACAAAATAAACGAAATAAAAATTAATTTTTTATTAGTTATATATGAGTTTTACTAAACAACCCGGCAACTATTCATTATATGTAGTTCAGATTAGGTATATATTATTTTAGTTTATAAAACAGGTATTAATATGACCCATTTCCAGGGAAGTATATACAATTTAAATTACCTCATAGAATCAGTAAATATAGAAAACAAAGTGTTAAATTGCAAATGTAAAATAAAAAAATCAAGATATTCAGCAAAGTATTTTTGAATTAAGTTTTATTATTATAATTATATCATTTTTACAATAGAGATCTTCTTAAACGACCTCCGTATATAATAAAGGAAATTAAATTTTAAAAAATAATAAATTAAAAAAAAATGTTTAATTTTTTTTGGCAATTAAATGATTGAATTAATATTCGTTCATTATTACAATCAATATAATGTACCAAAAACGTTATTATGTCACTATAACTAAGCCATTTATGAGTCCTGAATGGTGTGGTAGAGGCCTGTAGGCACCTACGCCAGAGTACCGCTTTTCTGCCGCTTGCAGTGCATTTTTTTTGGAACTGCTACAAATATTTTAAAAAATAATCAGTGTTTTAGAAAGAGAAATATATTCTCCAGATGTTTTATTTCGGTACGTTTTACGTTATCGTTGTCTGTTTAATTACGAACGACGCTTGATTTTTAACTTTTTAAGAAATTTTTGTTTTTTTAAGAAATTGACGTTACTGGTGTTTTTTATTTCCTAAGCCAATTATTTCTTTTTGTGCTTAGAATCGAAAATTTCCATTCGCGTTTTACGTTTCAGACATCAAAGATCAATTTGGTTCGGTGTCTGTCTGCAGTCAAATTGATATGACGGGCATATAACCTACTATATATCATCCGATTTTGATGAAATTTTCAGGAATTGTGCAAGTTGGTGTCTAGATGGTCCCATATCAATTATATCCAATTCCATCCACCACTTTCGCTTGCGCATGCGTAAGTGTGTTTTCATATTTATGGGAATATTTCAGTTTGCAACAGATATACTGGAGGTAGTCTGCTCCTATGGAAAATAGTAGAGGGCAACAAAATATGAAATTATACTAATAAATAATAAAGAAATAATTAGTTTTTATAGTTTCCTGTAAAACAATCAATTTTTACATTCGACTTTTTACACTAACAATTGTGATATAATTATTCAATATGCACTGTGATTTTTTTTTAATCACATCAAGTACGCGATATGGAAATGTTGAACACTTTCGCATTTTAATATCCGCTGATAAACAAAATTCGTGAATATCAAACCTGCGAATGTTGAGGGATTACTGTATTTCCGAAAACGGCTTCTCCTGGAGATTTTATTCTCAGAAAAATTATAGACCTTGAAATATTAAGCCAATGAGAACGGTGAGGAAGCTATACTGACTTTACTTGGCAGACTTTTTTTTAAATGGAGATTATACCTACCGTGATAACTGATTTTTTTTTTCAATTTTAAAATGCTAAATAGAAAAAGGAGACCCTAGAGATTCTAAATGTTCAACGGAGAAGTTTATAACTATAACAATTACGGCGGCATAAACCAAAAAGGACACAAATTTCCTTATCTATGTTCATCACTGGTGGGCTTACCTTAAGTATGTTATCGAAATATTGAAAATTAGGAGAGCAGAAAGATTTCAACAGGAAAACATATTGTCAGCTTCATTTAATTATTAAATAAACAAAATATTTCATTTTTTTTTAAATATTTATATTTTTAAATACAATAAAAACAATATTTATTAGACGTTGATAAGTTTTACGCCATTAAACAATAACAAACAAATAAAAATAATATTTACAATAAGATAAACCTATGTTAATGAAGGTTATAACTCTTCCAATTTGACTGCAGCATCTGGTTTAACGATCAACAGGAAACTATCGTATTCGTTTAGGCTTGTATTTTTATCTCCCGATGGTAATATTCTGTACTTAAGCAGAATAAATGCAATTATCGTCTTCACAAAGATAGTAGCGTACTTCATGCCTATATAAAAAAAAATTAACACTTAAAATGTATTTAAGACCTGTTAATAAGGTTTACCCAATTCACTTACCAAATTAAAATTACATTCACTTACCAACACAGATACGCGGCCCTTCGCCGAAGGGCAAAAATGTGTACTTAGTCATTAACTCCTTATTACTTTCGGAAAACCTCTCCGGTTCAAATTTTTCGGGATCAGGAAAATATTCTGGATCGTTATGAAGAGCAATAGATGAAATAAATATTCTAGTTCCCTTGCAAATTTTAACATCTTCTAATACGGTATCCCTAGTACATATACGGGACATCACTGTTAATGGAGTATGCATTCTAAGTGTTTCTGGGGGAAAAAAAATACTGAAATCAGTTAATGTTCCTTTTAGATTATCAAAAATAAGAAAAACAAAATCATAAATCTATTTTAGTCCAAGTTCAACACTTGGAAAATGTGCAAATAGATTTAGGTTATTTTTATAGGTTTATAGGTTATATATATTGGCCATTTGATACAGACAAAGACGCCATCGTGGTGAATTTAGCCATTGGAAAGTCTGATTTATATCGTGAAGACTTTCAAAATAGATGATATTCTGATGGGATGTTAATAAGTAAAAAATGTCTATATTTCATAAACTGAACGTTATATAACAGACAGGAAACTATCAACATTCTATTTCAATTTTTTTTTAAATTTCCAATTTCCAATGTTCAACTTCTGTCTTTTTCCTTTTAAAAATATCAAGTAATAATTCTATAAAAAAAAAAAAAAAAAAAAAAAAGTTCGCAATCATTTTCCTATATGCTGTGCCCTCTCTTTCAGGTAAATTTTGTCAAATTTTCGCTGCCATTTTACTAAACGGATCTAAAACGTTTTTAAAGAACTTTGAAAACTCAAAATCATAGTAATTAAGGCCCTTTACATGTATCGAAGTTATATTGTATTATTTACAATTTATTGTTATTTACAATATATACAATTTATATTGTTATATACAATTTATTTTATTTAGTATTTTTGTGTACTTATTTTCCTAATTACTCTCGACGTGGTGCTCAAAAAAATCTACACCTAATATAAGACCTTTTCAACAGAGCTTCAGAAGACTCCAAAAAGTAACTAGGAATTTGCTGGCGACCTGGTCGTATTTGGGACTAATTGTAGAAACCTCCAATTCAACCTCCGTATCCTCCAAGAAGAGCAAAAGAAAATAAATATGACAATCAATTTAGAAAAAAAAAATTACTAATTGAGAACATGGTAGCTTTGAACACAACTTGAAGATGTCAAGTCTAATGACTTTCAAATATAATGTAACTTGTAACCCTGCTGATGTACTTAAGTGCTCGATTCTCAAAGAACAATATTGTTTCATATTTGTATATTAGCTGTAGTCACCACTCGTGGCCGAATCTAAATTTCTTTTTTACATAGTGATTAATTCTCAACCCCTTTCAAGCAAAGGGTTCTCTTTAGATATGCAATTCGCAAAACCAAAAAAATGGATGAAGATAACATCATAAAATTTAATCAAAAAAACGTATTTAATTGCTCCATATACATTGTTGCTATTAAATAATTGTAACAAAGTTGTTTAAACTTTTCCTCTAGATAAAATGCCTAATTCCATCATCATTTAAAGATCAAAATATAAGCTCATTATTTAAATAGTTTCAAATTACATTGTTGGAAGAATGATATCAAAATTTTAATACAATTAGTGGTAATTGTTCTTAATAGCGAATATTTAATTGTAATAATCTAATTAAGTTTAATTTACAAGAACAAGTCTTCTAGCCATAAAATACCATATTAGATAAGTGTTGAAATTTCTGAATTTTTTTTTAACTGGAATTTTATTATATTACGATTGTGTTTAATTTGTAATATCTTCTTACCATCAAGCACCATTTGAAGATAGGGGATTGAATTTATTTTGTCATAATCAAAATCTTCCGGTTTGTTTCCAACTGACTTGATTTCACTTCTGAGTTTTTCTTGGACGTCTATGTGGTTCGCTAATTCTAGCAGGAAGAATGCTAACACCATTGAAGCTGTCACTGTAGCATCGAGATAAAAAGTTGCGCAATGAGCAGTCATTTCTAAGTCAGTGTAAGCTGAAATTATGAAAGAAATCATTTGAGTCAAACGATTTGATTGATGAATTATTCTAAATAATAGCCAAAGCCGCGAAAACCTTTATTGGTTTGTTCCAACTTCTTTTTATTTAACTTAATAATCGTATCGACGATATCGCCTCGTGTTATGTTAGCACTCTGTCGGTGATCAATATTTGTTTTGGTCACGCATTTGAAAAAATCTTCTGCCTCCTTTGAAGTAATTCTGGAAAAGAAGAAGTCCATAGAAATGTTAGTGTTATTCATTTGTATCGTCCTGAGATACGCAATTGGCCATTACCCCTTATGAAAGTTCAAAATTACCTAAACAACCATTACTGAAGTGGGTTGAACCACACCTGAACGCCTAAAAACAAACCACATAGCTTATAGCGCAGAAAGCATAATGCAAATTATAAACCTTGTTATAAAATTATATAAACCTTGTTAAGTCACATCAATGAGGATAAGACCTAAATGATATTAACGACCTTGTACAATGATATACCGAGTTTAATCAAAATCGTTTGAGCAGTTTTTGAGAAAATCATAATAACATATAATTGATGATATGAAGTGGCACTTCTGATTATCTGATTTTAAGGAAAAAGTTGCTGTAACATCCCAGGCATATACTTGTCTTAAATATGTAATACCAGTTTTGTAGGACTTTCCGTTTTTGAGCTAGACTGATAATACAAATACAGACCATTTTGTGGGACTTGGTTATTTGGACTCAAGGGACGTCAAAAAGAGTATTTTCACGATCAAAATACTTACTCTTACTGTATATTACATATATAGGTAATCAAAAGTAAAAATGCAAGTGTTTTCTTCCTAATTATGTATATTTTAATGATAATTATATATTTTAATATTAACTCTATACATAAATATAACTAGAGGCAAAAAGGAACACTTTATTTCTTAAATCTCATGAATAATTTTATTTAAATATTAATAACTTATAAAATAGGTCAGATGGGACAAAATTTTTAGATCATATTTGCATAATATCTTATTACAGTCTTATTAAAGTAAATTTTTTTGAAAAATACAATAAATTTTTGAATTTCATAAAATTAATCAATTTGAAATTGATTAGTAAAATATTTAATACGACTGGTTATTCATATCTCATTCATGTTTGTTTTAAAGGCTTCTGAATGCCTTATACTTATTATAGAATAACAATTATAGAATGCAGAAACGATTAGATAAATAACAATACAATTGATTAGCAAATTTTGTTAAAAACGTCTCATTTCGTGCCATACAATTGAAGCATCTAACTATTGATTATTATTATTATAATCGAAAGAGAGCATTTTCAAGTGGTGAAACAAGCTTCATGCAAGTATTGATTCCAACACTTGCTCAATTATCACACTTTACACCAAGTCCCTTTTATGATATTCAAATTCGAAACTAAAAAAAAAAATAACTTTTGGCCATTTCTGAAAATTCATATATAAAAAAGAACATGGTTTTTTAGATTGAAATTTCATGAATAAATAGTACAGTGATAGGACTACATATGAAAAAAAAAAGTTAAAACTCTTTTCATTATTACAGTATTGCAGCGCTAAACGTCTCATTTCATGTTAATTTTCATTTTATGGTTATAACTTATTAAACAACTTTCTTCACTACTTAGGGGATGTATTGTGATAACAAAAAAAATTTATACCAAAGTATCATCATAATTTCAGTTTTTATTTCGTTTTGTTAGCTATAGAAGTGCCTGAGTTATTAGATACCGACTCTCATTTGGCAGCAACATTTGTTGCACTACAACTAATATAACCAGTTGCATCTCAGTGATCAAATTTGTATCACATGATCCTATCATAAAAAGGTATTAAATTTATCAATTTCACAGTCCCTTTTGTGATAATCAATATCAAATATCGCCGAAAATTACTTTGGCTGTTTTTTAAAATTCAAATTTTAAACGGGACAAGGTTTTCAAGGTTGAAATTTCATAAGCAAGGAACACAATAGTAGGACTACATATGAAAAAAAAATTAAAGATGAAACTTTTTTTGTTATTACATTTTTGCAGCGCTCTAGTCTCGTCTTATGTCTATTTTTTTTTAAAATCACTTTCCTTTCTTTTTAAGTGATGTTTTGATAAACACATATGTAGAAAAAATACTCTATTAAGTTTTTTACATTTTGGTTTGATATCCACAAAATTACCAGTGTTTCAAACATTTCTTCGGTCGAAAAGCAAATTTAAAATGACCGCCGAGAAGAAAATGGTTTTGAACTCTCAAATATATGTGGAATAACTGGTAAAAAAAATTATAAAAATCAAAAATCTCGAGCGACATTCCTTATTAAATATAAGGAATAAAAATCAAGGACTCACCTGAAATTATGTAATTTGTTAAGTGAGGGAAAAAATAAGGCAGCAAATATGTTCCAACTGCTAGTTTCAAAAAACTTATCGCCACTAGCATGTTTCATAAAACCGAATTCTGAATCTGTGAATGACTTCGGTTCTATTCCAAATCCATGGAGAACAGCTGAATCAATTGCAGCACGGGTTGTAAGGTCCAATACCTGAAATATGATCCCATCCTTCATAATATTTGGTTGGCAAATAAGTTCTTTTGGTTTTTTCAGGGTGAAATAAAACTAGATGTATTATAGAATGTATGAATGTATTATAGGATGTATTATTATAAAATTTATTTTAATCTGCAATATATTGACTATTATTTAATATGACTTTTTTCCATCTTTCCACTAACTGCATAATACCATGTTCATAGAATGTCTGAAATTGATTGTTAAAAAACTGATCCAAGCAGTACAGTAGAGAGCGGAATAAGTGTTAGTCCCTTGGAGCTAGGTCTGGTGAATAGGGAAGGTGGGGCAAAAGGTTCCATCAAAGGCTCAATAATTTATTGCAAGTGACCAATGAGATGTGGGGCCTAGCATTGTCTTGGTGGAACACAATACCCTTCCGATTTACCAGTTCTGGGCGTTTATTTTTAATTGATTGATCCAGCTTTGGTTATTGTAGGCAGTATAGAGTTTAATCAATTGTTGTCCTGATGGCAATAGCTCATATGGAAAGGATTATCTTCTTTGGATGCAATTCGGGTTTTGACATTCTTCTAGGCGCCTCACTACTATGTCCCTAAGATTTTCTACGGACTACATTATCGTCAAATATCCATTTTTCATCTCCGGTCACCATCCTTTTAAAAAATGGGTTGTTTTGTTGTCGTTTCCGTAGTGAATAAAATAGAAATGCGTATTGCCAATTTGACTTCGGTTAAAGAGTGAGGGACCCAAACATTAAGCATGGAAACATAGCCGAGCTTGTGCAAATGGTTTTCAACGCTTGTATGCGACACATTTAGGGACATAGCAATATCTTGCACTGATTTGGTGGGATTTTGATCAACGATGGCCTTAGCATTTCTCGTTTCAATTTCATGTGGGCGACCAGACATATGAGCATCATTGATGTCAAAATTTCCTGAATGAAATTGGCAAACCAATTTTGACGGATGCGTTCGGTTAAGGCATCATCCCCATAAACATTTTTCTTTTTTTCAGCTTCTGCAGCACGCTTATCTTTTTTAAAATAATATATAATAAAAATAAATAAAATAAATATAAATATAAAATAATAAATAAATATAAAATAAAATAAATAAATATAAAATATAAAATAAATATAACAAAATATGCTGATAATGAATGGTAATTTCATCCATATTCACAGTGCAATAGCAAACACAATACTAAGCTAGTTTCAACAAGAGTTATGAGATATAGTTGTTGGCATATTGCAAGGAGTGGATAAACAATCCACCTTGGGGATTAATTCATCAGATAAGAACTGTATCATAGTGACATAAAAATAAATAGAAAAACCGAAAGGACTGATTTGCCAACCCAATAATTAATAATAAAACAAAAATTAAATAGCTGGTATATTTATTATTAGGATTATTTTTTTGGCTATAAAATGCATGAACCTTATATCAATACCCTGCTGAGAATACTGTCGTCGATATGATTACACACAGAGCTATGCTACTGTTTTTGGTTCATATATGAACATAATGGTCTTCCAGGATCTTCCAGTGGTAAAATAGTAGAACAACCTCTTCAAAGTACACGGATTCAATAGTTATTATAATTATTGGCATTCTTAATTATTAGAAAGGTTTTAAGTCCTATATTCACTACGAGGTCTCCGTATGTGCCACAATAGGAATACCTTGGGCAACACATTAAGGATGGTCATCGAGAGTCGATAATATCGAAATATTGATATTTTGCTTCCAATATTCGATATTATTGACCAACGATATCGTCCCTATGATATTTTAATTTAGAAATAAAAATTAAACTAATGTTTTCGGAAAACTCTCGGGATTGTACATGATTCTGGTCGTTAGAAAAAAAAAAATCGGGTGCGCGCAACAAACAACTTTCACTTACCGCTCTACTTTGAATAGAAATTATTTTCTGCAAATGTTGGGTATTCTAAAATTTTTGAAGTGAATTTTAAACGGAGCTAAAGCTTAAAGCTTACAAATAAAAAATCATTAAGAGCATTAAAATTACAAAAAGTCTATTTATTACATCGATGGTGGGCAATAAAAATGTAGTTACTCCATCTGCTTTTCTAAACCACATAACTTCAGTCTCTGATCCTTTCAGTTGACAGAATAATTACTCCTATTTAAACTTTTTTGAGTAATGTCATTTTAGTGATATTTCTAGTTGGAAAAGTTATATTTATACAGACAGTGAATAAGTTAATTCCAGAGTAGGTGATTGCATTGTTGAAATATAGAACTGTGAATAAAGGTATAAATTTTGCCACTAGAAACATCACTAAAATTAATAATAAAGAATGTTGAAATTGGAGTTAGTCATTCTGTCAACTGAAAGGCTTATATATGCTTATAAAGAGATTTGAAAGTACATCAGAATATTTAACCTATAAATGATTATGGAATGTTGGGCTACTAGTTATTGAACTATTAATATTCATTGTTAAGTTCACTAAAACGAAATTACGAGATTTTCGTAGCCTGCCATTGATAGGTCAAAAGTTGTCACACTAATTGTAAGGGGATAATATTGGGATTTCACAAAGGAAAAATTCATCAAATTATTCACTAATTTAATTTTCTAAAAGGTTACTTGATGATTTTTTGGGATAAACGGCCGATAGATACCTAATCATTTAAATATAATATCATATTTAGAGTTATTAAACTACAATTAATGTATTTAAGGTTATAAACATATCCTTGAAATATTTTTATACTTCTTCTTTTACACAAGTACAATGAAATATTCTTTTAAACAGTGGCATTGGCTTGCTTCGGTGGATTTTAAATACTTTTTTTCAAACTTAGAAAAACATTTAAAAGTTTACATATAGCAAGAAAATTTCATTTAATCTCCTTGGAAACATGTGATTTACGTTAAATAATGTTAGTTTTCTGAAATTATTATTTATATTTTTTGTCACTCTCCGTTACCTTCTTACGATTTTATTTATTTAATATTATTTTTTTCCGCTTTCCAACGATATATTATACGTATACCTTCTGACTTTTTCTGAAGATTAATTTTCAACCTGGATAGGAATTTCTACAACATATTCCGGTTATTATGACAAATAATCGTGTTATGATGTTGTTTGTAGGTTTATCCGATTTAAGTCGGTTTTCCCTGTGAACATGATACAAATTCCCTATTTACATATACGCCGATGAGTAGTGGAAATTATTTTTTTTTATTTAGCACTTTTGGAATTACTAAATCTAAAAAAAAAAAATAATCATTATTATTTTGGAGGATAAATTGTAATGGTTATTAATAATCAAATATTCATTGTAACAATTACTTGCTTTACATTAATAAATGAAAATATCACTCATGGATTTATAATAAGTAAACATTAAAACTAATTATTATTGATAGCTGATAATTTTAAATTATTATTAATTAGTTATTGAACCTACTAATTGTCTTATATTTTGCGTACCTTACTAAAGAATGTAGGGAAGAATTATATTCGTGAATGAAGCTAAAATAAGTTTTATAATCAGAATCGAAAGTAGCAACTAGTGTTTTGCGTTTGGGACATGAAGGGTCAAGCAATTCTATATTTAATACATCCATGTGACTTACGTATCACATACTACCTACAGGGGATAATTGGGTACAGTTGTGGCAGTTATGGAAAATATAAATAGTAGCCGATATGTTTATTAGGAAGGAAGGGATGTTGTTCCTGTCTGAACTTATTTAACAGTATTGCCAACGAATCGCACGACATTAAAGCTAATATAGGCCTTCATTACTTTTTAACAGACAAAAGTTACTATTTTTATTCCATTTCTTTGAATGATTGTTGTTATATACGTAAAGATAGAATAATGAATGTTTTTCTCATTATAAGTTTAACATTAGTTGTTAAATAGTAGTCATTAACTTACGTTACAATTTTTTTGTGAAATACAGATGGGTACGGTTGTGAGAAAAGTAATTTTTTTGTATGCTTATGGATACACAGAGAACGCTCGAGGAAGAACGAAACTTGATTCATATCCAAATTGTTATAACTAGAGACCGGATTATCATGTTTTTGCACATTTTATTCATTTAGAGATAAAAACTTCAAACCCGAAACTTCAAAAATCTATCAGTTTCACGATCTGTAGAATAACGAAATGAAATTTCATTTTGCACGTTTTGGCCTTTTTGGGCTTAATTGCACATTTTTGGTTTTTGATGCATCATGTTGCTATTTAAGGTCTGAATTTCAATTTTAAAAACATAATGTAAAATACTTATACTAAATTTCCTCTTGAACATGTACATAGCTATGTATGTAAATATTTATAGATTATATTAGATTTTTAGTTGAGAACAGGAGTGTCCAACCCATAGGTGGAATAAGTTCGTTATAGTTTTTAAATTTTTTGTAGTCAATTTATTTTGTTTTTAAACATTTTCAAGTTACCTTTCTGAGATCAAAAGTATTTTAGACTCATATTGTTTGATTTAGGTGACAAAATTACTATGTACACACATTTTATTATATAAATAATATTATATAATTGGGAGTAACATATTTAATAATTTAATTCAATGCAGGTGGATATAGCCGTTTGCAAATTCCCTTAACCTCATGGTTCTGATATTCGCGGTTTCAAAACGTCAATATTTATTTTCCAGTTTTCATACAAACAAGTATAGGAATATTTGTAAGCAAACGTTTTATTGCCGCTTGGATGAATTTTCTTTGACAAAACGCCGCCAAGTTGTGCGAAGGAATATAGATTTTAATAAAAGCTAAGGAGCCTAACTCAAACCCTACTTGAAAAAATAAATAAAATAAATTGATCTGCAGCTGTAAAATGAAGCCTAAATTGAAATATGCACCGTTCTTTAAAAATATATGATTATTTTTTGTAAGCTGCTTTAATATAGAATTAGTTTTATCGTTGTCCATTTTAAATTAGAATTAAAATTTTCTCACGTTGTTACACGTAATACCTAATTCAATTTAGAGGCCCCTTTACATAAGAATAAACAAGCATTAATATTATAAACTAAACAAAATATATGAATTTTGCATGTTATATATTTAATTTTACACTTTTTGGGTTTTTACTGTACGATTTCGCACATTTTGAGTTTTATATTGCACGTTTTTCGGTTTTTTGTTACACGAAAATCCGGTCTCTAGTTATAACTTATTAGTTACAAGCGATTAAATTATTATATAATACAACGTATGTTGTGGCATTTTGTTTTTTTTTTAATTTGCTTCTATGAGATAACCATTGTATTAACGGGTATTTTGGTATTTATTTATATTTAGTACTTCCTATAAAAAAGCGCATTTATTCTATCTAATTGGCGCACTAACAAAATTGAGGTCGATTAAAAAAAACACTGTCATAACCGTACCCCATCTCTCCTACTTTATCCAATTCCTCCTCCTTGTCATGCAATGTAGTGGCCAACATATTTAAAATACAGTATGTTTATTGCGTCATGACTTTATAATATTATTATATTATATTAATATTATTATAATATCGGTTAGTGGATAGCCTTATAATTACATAAATAATAATAGATAAACATCAATTAGAGACATGTGAAATGTACAAATTGACATATAACCTAGAACATTCAATATAGAAGAGATAAAAATAATCACAAATAAAGATAATTTCAGTTATCTCCGTTTATTAAAAACTCTCCCTTGATAATAGATGACCTTGAAGAACTTAATTCATTTATAATTTTTTTCAGTTGTAGATATAATTTGTTTTTTTAGTTTAACAAGATAAGGAGTAGTTAGTAAATAATAATGACAACAGTAACCTTGCCGCTTAGGCAAGATACTAATAACAGAAATTAGTTTGTTGATTTGTTGCTGAGGTGATAACTAATTGTTTAATTTTGTTTTCAACTGAACTATGTCTTTTGAATTGAATTAAGTTAGATGTATCTATTATCTATTATTTGCCATTATATTTCGCCCAACTCTGATGATGAACTGCTAAGCTGGTAAACATAGAGACCATTTCTCTTTTTATTGTTAAAGAACTTTTTTACCGTTCACTGATACATTAATTACTCCTCAGGATTCCTTCTTTATTCAATATAACCATAACCGTTGGAAAGCTAAATTCTTCTGTACGACTACGAGTAAAATCTCATCAATAATTTCGAGCCTTATAATTTTTATTTATCGCCTTCATAAGAAATATATAAAGAAAAACCCATCAAAAGTTTTGATTTTATATCTCCAGTCCAAATGTCTTTACGAGGATATGTTTAGTGCCGTTTTATGTAGTTTATGTGAATCTGAATTCCTGTTTATTTTCGTGCTGATAGCTCCTTCAGTCGGTACAATTTTTTTCATTTCAACATTGCACTCATAATATTGCTATGTTCCTGGCCTCGCGTTTCTACGGCGAGTAAGGGGTTCCAGGAATCGCATTTATTTGTATTTAATAATTATATTTGTATTCATATCGGTTCCAGAAGGGAACTGATCTACAGAAAAATATATTAATTAGGTATTTAAATATTAGATACCACAGACCCCCTACTGTAGTATCCTAGATTGAACCATATAATTTTGATTGGATTTCCTTTCTAAAGGTATCATGTTTATAAATTTACTATTTGTTTCTATTACTAATTGGTGGCATGCAAGGTAGAATGTAAAAGTACTAAGATGGTTTACTAACTATTATATTTATAAGCTTAAATAAAACCAAAAACATCTATATACAAAATAATAACTAAACCTATCTACATAATGAATAGTTGAGAATCATACTGGAGGAGAATGCTTGATGTTTGATTAAAGTTATATGTGGTATATTGATTATATTAATTAATGGTTTATGGTTGCCAACACAAATTTACATTAGTATAACTAAATGCTAGTTACCACTTAGCTGGACCTTCATAGTGTTTCTAGGTGTTTCTAGCCGTCATATCTGGATTCCCTGTCTCTGCTCTCCTTCAGCGTCTAGTCCGTCCATCTGCTCTATCCGCTTCTCCTGATCCAGTCTCAGCCTGTGTCCCAGCTCTCCTCCGCCGAGTCCCAAGAGGAAGTCCTCTCAGCTGCGTCCCAAGAAGAAGTGTCCAGTCCCAATTCTCTATTTCCCACCTTTTTTCATCCCCCTCTCTTTTGGTAGTCTTTTTCCTGATTGGCTGAATATTCTCAGCCTTAGGGATGACCACGCCCTCTCCCCCAGGCCAAGGTAAAGCAGCAGGTACAGATTTCCATATTTCTGGTGGAAGGTGTGAAAAGATTTTTCGGGATCCTGTTTAAACACTTAGTTGTCGGTCTTGGTCGGTGGTTCTTAAGGGTTTTTATTACCACTTACAAAAGGTTGTCCTAATGGGTCGTTACCCTCAGTCAGGTACCGCCAGATGTTGGAACTTATGATATTTATTTATTTATACCTTTTAACTAATTATTCCACCGGCGGTCTTTACAATACATAGCAATATAGTTATATGCCAACTATAATTTTTTTACAATATGACTTTTCTACGAAATATAAACCAAAATAAGAGTAAAAGAAAAAAAAAATGTATATATATTCTATTGGACATAATTCTTGTTGATTTCTAAGATTTATTTTTTAAGGAATTTAGGAAGGTATAATAAATAATGGGAGGTATAATAAACAAAAAAAATATCTACTTTTGAGTTATTAGCTCATAAAATTCTGGTTTCGTTGTAACTTTTTTCCCGGAATCTTTTCAGATAAGTATTTTATATACATAAAATCAAAGGGCTTCAAGGAGATTTTATATTACTTTCATTAAAATAGTTACAATGATTTTAGCGCAACAGTCAATGGCGACACACGTTTTTCGGCATCCATTTCGAAACGAAAGTCCGAATGGTAATGACATGTATATAAAAACATTCCTGAATTGGATTGAAACGGTTTGTTAAAATATCAAAGCAATCGGTAAAAGAACTTACGGAGATTAGATGTTTTGAACAAACGAACATTTACATTTCTATTTATAAAGATTAAAGGAAATTGTATCCAGAATAAATTATAAAAATTCTTTTATATTAAAAATATGTTTATTCTTAACGTAAAAAAAAATTAATAATAATACTGAAACTGCTTACCGCAACAGATTCGCCTTTCTGATTCTTAATGAAGTCATACATGAACTCTCCTATTTTGGCCAAGCTGGAGACCACTTCTCTTAATTTCAATGGAGTCTGATTTAAAGCTTGAATACTTCTCAATTCCTTCCATCTGCAGGAATTCGAAAATGTCAGAAGATAATTCATATCTAAAGTTCATAAGTTTTTGATTTTTTTTTTTTTCAAAATCTATAAAATATACAGATGTAGAGATGGTTAAGTGTTTAAACTGCCTCCCGCAGTGCTACATCCTATGCCCCTCTTTTTTTTTTTTTTTTTCGTCCTCCCTTCCTCGCCGTTTATGCTAAAAGACTCCCTCGGCACCGGGACGCGAACTCGTGACTAGACTATTTTTATATCATTTGGTTGATATATCAGGTTGCCGAGCAGCGGCGATGCTGTGCACACGCGTTAGTCCGTTCGGCCACCCCGTCCGACATCCTATGCCCTGATGAAGACCTGCAAAGTGGGTCGAAATGTCGGCAAAAATTAAATAATACTATTTGTATAATTTAGTATTTATTTGACCGCACACCCCGATCAGCTCCTTCTCATAAAAAATATAAAGGTTAAACAAAAAAAAAAATTAAAATTTGAGACAATTCGTTTCAAGAAAATTTATCAAGCTAAAGCTAATAAGAAACAGTGTAACAATCATGCCACGCAATCTCAAAACTAATAATTATATAAAATCATCTTTTCTAAACACTCCCTCTCACATCACTTCAAAAAAAGAAATATTTACATGTAGCAATAAATATCTGACTCTGTTGCCTTTCTAAACTTATGGTATAGAACTTGATTAGGACAGTATGAAAAATAGCGATTCATAATCAATATTATATTAATGTAAATATGAACATAAGAAGTTTTGATTTAGTCCCGTTTTTCGTACGGCTTAACAATATCTAAAAAATACTTGTTTTATCGAATCGTCATTACAATAGAGGTAAGTTTCCTTGGAGCCAGGAGACATCAAGGATCATCTTGAAAACCATGATTATAGAGCACTACTTTTCTGCATTTTATTGGAGTAGTTTCACTGGGGGCGTCAACAGATAACAGCCGTTCACAATTAAATAGTCGTTTGGAAGGAGGGTGAATAAAATCGTTTATCGAAAACGCTTTTCTTTCAAGAAACAACGTGCATGATGATTCTTTCGCTTTCTGAAGCAGAGGAGGAAATTCTTCTCGAGGAAATTCCTTAAGCCTAATTTTCACAATGACAGTTACCGTGAAAGTCGCTGCCACAGCAGCAACTGCCGTAGCCACTTCCATCAATTAAAAGAGTATCAGAGTATGAAAAGACCAGTTCGAAACTACATATAACTGATTTTTGGGTATTTTGTTCATTGGTCTCTTTCTGCTAAATTATTTAAATTTATTAACAGTGCTAAAGTTATTAAAGTAATTTTAATAATGGCTATCATTATTGTCATGTATGTTTACTATAATGCCATGGTGAATACCATGGTTTCCTTAGTTACTGAGTATGAAACTTTTCATTCAAAAATTCGAAACCCCTTCGAAATTCTCCTTTCCCGAAAATTCAAAACCCCGTTAAAATGTGCTCCCTCAAAAATTTTTATGGCGCAACTTGCGCTATGAAATCTCCTTCTGGGCACACCTGATGATGGGAATTTTTAAGTTCTTAGTATACCGTTGTAAATTGTTATCCGAAATACTAGAGTTTTCTTGGGCTTTTGTTGGAGTGCTTCAGCAGATAGGTGGTCATAACCAGAAGCTTTTCTTTTCGTTAATTGTTTGATTTGGAGTGCAACCTGAGATGGAGTAAAGGTAGCAGGTGGTAGTGTCAGCTGAAGGGAGATGTCTAATGTGTTAAGTACTAGAATCTCGTGTTCTGTGTTTGTGAAGTTTGTAAATGGTTTAAATACAGAAGAAAGGTGGTTAGCGAAGAGTTCAGAATTTACTCATGCGACACGGCCCAGAATTCATGATCTTTTCGAGGAAGTGCTGACAGCTCTCAGTACTTTAATTGCTTGTTGGTACGCTTTCATCGTCAGTCCAAAGAGCATTTATGTATGTGTCATGGCTGGAACTGTTAAATTTTTGGATTTCCCTTCAAGTTGATTGCTTAGTCGGTTAAAAATGTGTCTATTAGATAGGCGTCTGTCAGTCAGCCATATTTTACGCGATTTACTCTTCCCTTCACTGTAATTAATTAGACAGAAGTTCCTTATGTACTGAGGCTAATTCGGCAAGTGCTCGGTTGTCGCAGAGTTAAACTTGGGTAAGTATGGAATTCAGCACCTCCATTTCGAAGACTACTTACTAGTTTATGATATACATCTGATATCTTGGATAAACTGCAATAACACCTTTAGCGGTTATTTTTGGAAAAAATGAATTTGAAGTTGCAATGTTTTCCAAGAATAAGATCTGATAATTTTGAACGTCGTGTATGTGTATTAGGGGTGATTTTTTGTTTATTTATTCCTTTGATATATTAATTCTGCATTGGTGATTTTCTGTTAAGCTAGAAAGTGCATCGTAAGTATTACTTACAGGTATTGGCGTTGCATTTTCTGTATCTGTTTCCTCGGGTCCCTGGATTCAGTAGGAAGTTGTTTTTTTCCCGTCACCAAAGCCCATGCATCTCCACAATTAACTTCAATTAAGTCTATCATTTCCCCAATTCCCTCAGCATTTGACGTTGCGATGAGGTCCATTTTTCAGTAGAATTCGCATTCAAATACTAATTTTCACTTTATCAACGACTTCCTTGAACTTCTCAAAAAAAAAGTTCTACTTTTTTATTTGAAAATTCAAATAACCTCTTATTTTCAATTTGGAAAAATGGTCTTATTTTTTCTCTTTTCGTCAATTATCATATTATTTCATAGTTTGGGGTGATTAGTCAGAGATAAAAAGTCAAAAATAAATAATAATATTTATTTTAACATTTGCCGACGTTTCGACCTGAAGTTCAGGCCTTTATCAGGGCTAAGAAAAGAACCAGATAACAAGGTATGAGAAAGATAAACAATGTAGCTAAAAAAAAAATTAAAGTAAAATGAAGTGAGTAGAATAATGACAATAACAAAAACTAAGAAATATAAATAGTAATAACCGTTAAAAAGTGTGGAATAATGAAGAGAAGGATGGTTGGTTGGGGTGATCAGTTAGAAATAAAAAGGCAAAAATAAATAATAATATTTATTTTAACGTTTGCCGACGTTTCGACCTGAAGTTCAGGCCTTCATCGGGGCTAAGAAAAGATGTTTACTTCATTATTCCACACTTTTTAACTTATATTTCTTAGTTCTTGTTATTGTCATTATTCTACTCACTTCATTTTACTTTAATTTTTTTTTTACCTACATTGTTTATCTTTCTCATTCCTTGTTATCTGGTTCTTTTCTTAGCCCTGATGAAGGCCTGAACTTCAGATCAAAACGTCGGCAAATCTTAAAATAAATATTATTATTTATTTTTGCCTTTTTATTTCTGACTTATCATCCCAACCAACCATCCTTCTCTTCATTATTCCACGACAGTCAACCATCAACCCACGATTATTTCATAGTTTATATTTAGCCACTTCTTATAAACCTACTACTAATTATCAAATACTGTTATTATTTCAAATAAACCATATTAAAGATACTTTAGAGGTAAGTAAGTGAAAATAAGAATTTTAAAATTTCTAATCGTGATTATTCAAACCATGATTTATACATATATACTACAGATAAAAATAATGATATTGATTGCTAAGTATGATTTCCAGCTTAATAATAAAAAACATAATTAATATTATAACTTACAGAATACTGTTCTTAGCTGTAAAGGGGTTAAATCCCAACAGTGGGTCTACTTCCTTGCTCAATGTAAAACCATTGTTACTGAAGTTGTTGAACTCCGTCACAAAAATCTTTTTGACAATATCTGGATCAGTGATAAACAACATCGGCTTATAAAAACAATAGAAACCAATCATTCTATGTTTCTTGTATTTTCTAGAACATTTGAATAAAAAATTACGGTGATAGGTGCTATACTTTTTTGACAGAGATCATCCTATGGAACAATACTCCACATATATTACATACAAAAAAATATATATTGATACAATAGAAGATTTTATAAATTATAAATTCAGAAATAAAAGAAAGATTTTTAACTACTTACTTGTAAATATCTTCAAACATGAGAGCCATTAAAGTTTGTCCCATTACTAATTCTCTCGTATTCCCGAATAGAAATTCTGTTGGTATAGAAAAGACGTTCCTCTTTTTCCAATAGCCATGAGCCCACCAGTTAAATATAAATATGGCACTCAACAGTAGGATAATAATCTCCAATAGCATTTTGCCATCAATATTGAACCTGCCATAAATTTAAAAATATTTTAACCTGATGATAATTAGATATTCATACATGACTCACTTTCTAAAATTGTTTTTCAATTTTAATAATGTAAGTAAACGGGTTGATTTTCGAGCGACTCGAATAAGCGAATAAAACCAAAAAATTCAAAAGTTGAAAATGTTTACACGATTCTGAAACTACTTTGTACAAATATATGTTTAGGAATGAATGTCATCAACTTGATTGGTAGGCACTCAAACCATTTTTTAAAAGTAGTGGACTAATTTAACTGGTAACTGAAATAAGTAAAATGAGCATAAATTTGAAACGAAAATTAAACTATATTTTATCCAGAAAATGGAGAAATGAAAGGAAAGCAAAAAGTAATATCATTATTGTCAGTAGGTGAGTTGAAATTTTGTGATTGGGCTGAAATTTGTAGATATTGAATGCCATAGAAAAAAAAATGATAAAATTTTCATGCGTAGGCTGAGCTGTGGTTTGCAAATTACGCACTGCCCGGCAACCAGATGATTGATAAACTAAAGTTATTATTAGATATAAAATAGTTATGAATTCGCGTCCCGGTGCCGAACCGTGGGCTGAGTCACTAGCGGATCCAGGATTTAATTTTGGGGGGGGGGCTTCAGCCCGAAACCTTTTTTTTTCATTAAAATAACGATAATTACTTTGGAAAAACAGAAAGAAACTAACTATCTAAATCAAATGGTGTTTAAGTTATTACTTTTAAATGTAATTACACGAACAATAATACTTTAAGAGGAATTTTTCAATTTTTTTTCCCATAAAACATGGTTATATTTTTCCATTTTGGGGGGCTTAGCCCGAAAGCCCCCTCCCCCGTAGATCCGCCCGTGGGCTGAGTAATGGAAAACCTGCGACGTCGGCTAAAAAAAAAATTTTTTTGATAACTCTTTAAACTAGATAAACTGTTTAATTGATACCTTAGGCAGTTTGTGAGAATATTTTTAGTTGGAATGAACATTTTGTACAGTTTTTAGTAAATAATTCAATTAAAAACATAGTTAATTTGTGGAACCATGTGATTTGTAGGTTTTGTAAACTTGCTAGCTACGAGCTGATGGTAGATATTGTTTCCTTGAAGCTTTATACACGTTTTACTGTCATTCTGCATAATTAAAAAAAAAAAAATTGCAATAATTTTTAAAACTTGTTTTACTTCGAATCTTTTTTCCCTTTTGTTAATAAAAAGAGGTGTTTTTAAATCAACTTTTTACATGTACATTTAAAAAAATTTCCGATATCCTCGAGAAAATCGATTTCTTTCAACTTTTAAGCAGCAATTATTAAAGATAAATTCGTATTAATTTAAACCGCCATGGTCCGCCTAAAGGTAGTTAAAGTTATTTTTGTACGTATAAATCTCCAAACAATTTCTAGGTACGTACTAATAACTCCTTTGACTAGACATGCTCTCAAATTTAGTTTTAAGAATTGTATTGAACATAAAGAAAATAAGGTTCTGAAGTTATTTGTTTCGAAAAATACCTTAAACGAAAACAATAAAAAAATATTTACTTTTTATTTATGAAAACATTAAATCTTCGTTTTCATTGATTTAAAATTTTAATTTTTAGCTTCCTCACTACCGAAGGTAGGGAAGCATTGTGTTCGTGCGAGAGATTAAAAAAAAATGTTTGCTCAGAATCGAAAATTTTCACCCGCGTTTTACGTTTCAGACATCAAGGATCAAATTTGGTTCGGTGTCTGTCTTTCTGTAGTCAAATCAATGCGACGGGCATATCACCTAGTACCGTTCATCCAATCTTCATGAAATTTTCAGGGATTATGCTGATTGGTGCCTAGATGGTCCCATATCAATTTTATCAAATTCCATCCAGCACTTCCGCTTACGCACGCGCAAACGTATATTTTTAGATATGCCAATATTTCAGAAAGGGCTCGTTCGATTTGGCTCAAAGTTATATAAAAGGTAGACTTTGGTGAAAAAATAATGTAGTGTCAATTTTATTGAATTCTTTCCAACACTTTCTCTTATATATGCACAACTAGTCCGCCATCAGCGCATTTTTTTATCTAGATAAGAAATAAACATTTATATTACTCTTTTAACTGTATATAACCATCCTCTATTTTCACTCTAATCTAAATAAATAAACAGAACACCTTTAAATAAACTAATGTTTAAAATTAAATAAAAGGTGGGGTCAATGAGTTCCCGCATAAGACGGCCTCAAGGAAAAAAACGACTTTTATTTATTTGTTCCACTAAGATTATTGTCTGTTAATAATAAAATATAATTTTTTTTCAATCTCCACCCTTATTCTTTTTAAATATCGATATATTTTTATAACGGTAAATTTAATCTGAGAGTAATTAGTTGAACCTTTATGACTTGATCGGTTGTTGTTAATATAATCTTTAAAATTAATGAAAAAATTACATATTTTATTCATCTGAGAGTCTGAGAAAGAATCAATGGTGTTCAAAGTATCATTATCGATGGTTTTTAAAATTGTTTGTAATAAAAATAAAATAAAATGTTTATTATTTCATAAAAACTATTACAAAATGAATATTTATAATTAATAAACGATGCATTTTTTAAGTTATTGCATATAAATATATTATAATTATATTTTCAGATTTATTGTTTTTTAAATTGAAAAAAAAACATTAAAATAATGATTTTTGTAGTAATATAGACAATACTTATAAATAGGTATATAAAATTATGCGTTTTAATAGGTCTCTATCGTTTTCGAAGTTAATTTATTGTCAAATTTAAAAATTCCCAAGTTTAAACAAAGAAATAGCATTTATTTCATGTATTTTTTTTGACGTCATATTCGTGTCCCTTGGCCTTGAAAACATAAGTTTACTAAACATCAAGTTAATCCAACATCATTTACGAGTTCTAGGCGGATGTCCATGAAAACCTGGCTTTCGTCCCACTGTGTGGCAGCGAGTTTTAACTCTGGCATTGTGTGTGTGCCCTGCCATTTCCTTCTGGCCCGAGAAAACCTCCGTATAGTCTAAAAAGGCGTGGTAAGAGGGAAGTAGAAGAAAAAAAAACTAAATGTTCGAACTTACTCAGGTTGGGATTTTCACATTTGGTACCAAAAGAAAATGAACTGAGTTTGTGGCCACTTTTCTCGCCACTTCCTCATCTTTGCTGCCCCTCTTTCTGGGGATTCTTCTCTTGTTTCATTATTCTATGGTTTCAGAAAAACACACCGGAGAAGAACACAATGAAATCGGTTAGCCTGGGTTCAGACCCTGGTCATTTCTCTTATCTCACACACAGTTTCAACTTTTTTCGGCATAGTAGTCTCATGCAGTCGAGCATGAAACAGCGCCAAACTGCTCGTGCATTTCGATATTTCAGGAACCCGAAACATATACTTATTTTAATTTTAACTACCTTGCTTTTTCGGGCCTGGAGAGAGGGCGGAGCACTAATGTTAGAGTTGAAAGACTTCTTCCCCACCAGCTTGCCAGACAACGCGTATTTTTCATATGCGCTAGCCCGCTCACTCCGCCCCAAGACTCCATCTTTGCCTTTCTTGGGCTATTTCTTTCCAGTTATCTGCTTGCAGCTCTATTGCATCTTTGTTGACTTGATCTATCCATCTGCTTTTTGGCCTGCCACGTGGTCTTTTGCCTACTATGAGACATCCACTGGTGTATTGGGACTTTCAAATGGATTACTCTGAGGTACATACATGCCCCGCCCATCTTAACCTCCATGCCTTCATATCGTGAGATATTAATTTACCAGTCTCTGTAGGCAGCTCTTTATTGGCCTTCCTTCTCCGTGGGTTAGTACTCTAGTCCTTGATAGCTCCGGTTATCGTACGGAGGATTTTTTCCTCAAATCTTTCAATACTTTTTTTCTTTGCTGCTGGTTATTGTCTAGGTCTCACAGCCAAACATTAAAACTGACTTTATCTTAATAAATTGAGATTTTTCGGAAATTAAATACCTTTGAAAGGGAGAAGAAAGGTCTGTTTGCGGCTATTATACGCTGGTTTTATTTCTGAATGTATGTTAGTAAATTCGAGCCCACGAATTAATCCTGGGCCATTGGTTTTAATAAGACAAAGCATATTCTAATTTTTAATACCCGAAAAATATTTTGAAAAATGGTTACCTTTCAAGAAGGAAGTGTTTGGTAGCCAGACGCGCAGCGTACAACTAGAGACTGTATCACTTTAGAACACATCAAGGACATACTCAATAAAAACATTGCGTAATGCAATAATCCATTAGTTTATCTTTTTCAAAGGATGAGTCTCGCCGCACAGTGGTCCCAAACTATTTTTTTGGACATAACTATATATCTCCGTTACTTTTCAACCGATTTCCTTGTTTCTTCGTTTTATAGCAACACTATTAAATATACTCTATTACCTGTGCAATGGATATAAAATATTATCAGAAATAATATATGAAAATAAATGAGACTATGGTAGAGAACGTTAGATATCGTACTATAAAATTCTAGTTTCTAAAGATATAATTTATTTATATAGGTACGTCAAATAAGAGTTTTTAAATCTTGATAAATGACTAATTTCAAATTTGGTTCATTGAACTGAAAAACTAGTTTTTCGAAAACTTATAGATATTTTTACTTGATATTATAAATTTCAAAAAATGTCAAGGTTACTTTCCGCGATCGATCAAAGTAATATTTTCACTTTCTTTTAATTCTAGTAAAATAAACAGTATGAAGGAGTTCAATATAAAATTCAGTATCAAATTATTATATCATAGTTTATTTTATAAACGATTTTTTTACACAAACAGGTTAATTCTCCTCCTTAAATTGTTCTTCATTCTTATAATTGATAATATTTTGACTGCACATCCTACCATTTTTTATCCTTCAATATGAATTCTAAAGAGCCTCAAGTCAACCGTGGCAGCTATCATTTGTTAATTATTGATAATAGACATCTTAATGAAGGTTTTCCAACAATTTTTAAACGA